GTGAGAGGCTCAGGACAGGGGGTTCCAGTGTATGATAGGCTCAGATTTGGGGTCAGGTGGTACAGGAGTGTTATGAGATGCTCCAATTAGATGATGGGGAGTGTTGGGCTCAAAATGTTTCAGCATTGTCTTTATTTATGAGGGGAGGGAACCTGTTTTGAGTCAAGGGTAACTGACGCACAGAAAAGTCAGTTGGGGCCACACAAGTGAGATGCAAAAAAACCCCTCTAAAACCCCCATGCCTCACTAATGTGGTTACAACTGTGCTGGTGGGGATAGGGGATAGGGTGCTAGTGGGTGCTGGGGCCAGGGAGAGGGTGCTGCTGGGTAGCAGGATGCTGGCACAGGTGGCAGGGTGCTGGGGCAGGATGCTGGGATCAGGGACATGATCCTGCTGGGCACTGGGGTGGGTGGCAGGGTGCTGGGAGAAGGAACAGGGTGCTGCTGGGTGCTAGGGCCAGGGACAGGGTGGTGCTGGGTGCTAGGGTGGATGGCAGGGAGCTGGGGCTTGGGACAGGGTTCTGCTGGGTGCTGGGGCCAGGGACAGGGTGCTGCTGGGTGCTGGGGACAGTGCTAGTGGGGGCAGGGGACAGGGTACTCGTGAAGGGTTTGGGCAGGGGACAGCAGCAGCTGGGACCAGTACCTGGCAATCCTGCAGCACCTCTGAGTTCCAGAAGTGTGCAACTACACTTCCCCTCCCCAAACAGCTGGTGTGCGTGCTGCCTGAACAACAGGGGCTGTTGCACTCCAGCAACTTACTTCCACAATGCCGTCCTGCGCGTGGTGGGGGAGGGGGAAGGAGGAGGATGTGCATGGAGTCACAGGGCAGAGAGCGCTGCCTGCACTGTCAGAACTGCACAGACCCGGGTCTCCTGACACTCCCCCCCTCAACCGTGCAGAAAGGCTGCGGAACTAAGTTACCAGGTGCCACAGTCCTAGTGGTTCAGGCAGCATGCGCTGGCTCCTTTGGGAGGGGAAGTGCTTCCCTCCCCGCTGTGGGTCATGTGGGGTCACCCCTGTCTGGCAGTCCCCCTAGTGTGCCGGCTGGGAGCAACTGTTTCCCTCTGCCCCCGCCTTGCTACGCCTCTGCAACGCCATGGAGGAAGGGGAAAACAAGTGTGCTGCTTCTTTAAGAAGCTGGTTAGCTGGCACTCTCTCTTTCAGAGGGGGCCGGGGAGTGCCGGCTCCTCGCAGAACCCCTACTTTTGCTTTGCAGAACCCCAGGGTTCTGTGGTGCACCAGTTGGGAAACACTGGGCTAATCGATTAATTGCTCCCCCTCCCTTGCTGCCTCTTTCAGAAAGAGGCATCAGGGGAGGGGGTAGGAAGGAAGGGATACTTCAAAGTGGCAGCGCCACATGGAGCCTGGGGCCAAATCCCGGGTTCCACACTGTGCTGCCACTTTGAAATGCCGCATGCAGCCCGGGCCAGCTGGGGTGTCCCCAGGCTCCTCGTGGAGTTTCAAAATGGCAATGCTGTGTGGAGCCTGGGGTCAGCAGGGGAGTTAACTGACCCCGGGTTCCATGCGGCACTTTTGGCTTTGAAGTGTAGCAACAGCCCTAAGGCTGTTGCTACACTTCAAAGGCAGAGGCGCCCTATCGACTAATCGAATAGTCAATGCATTGATTATTTGATCAGTCAATTATTCAATATTTAACATCCCTAGTCACCCTAACTATATTACACAGAGCATGAAAGTTTTCACAGCCTGAGCGATGTACATAGGTTGACCTAAATTTTGGGTATAGACTAGGCCTAAGTTACAGGAAAGTTTACGTAGCACTGTGTACATACAGTTTATATTTAATAAAATACAAACATATTATACCATTAATAGTCTGTTTTAAGCTAAAATCCTGCAATGAGATCTGCATAGGCAGACTTCTGCATGCATGTGAAGACTTATTGAAATTAATGGGGGGTGGCACTCCTACATTGGAAGATCAAGGAATTTAATTGCAAACTCATTGAGACAAGGACTATTTTTATTATGTTTTCTGTAGTGCTGAGTTTTATTAAAAGTGGCTTTTAATAAAACACTAATATTATAGACACACAAGATTTGCAACATAAATGAATTACTGTTGTTGGAGGCCAGGATTACATTTCTAGATTCTGAATAATTGTTCTTTTAACCTTAAAATTGCATCAAACACATTTTATATGCATTTTTCCCTTATGAGAAGAAGCCTGCACTGATACAAATTTCTGTCCATGTATATCTGCTGATCCGCAGGGTTCTACTGCTGGGAACTACAGCACCCTGGACTGGCAGCTTCTCCTGGCTGTGCGGCTGTACAGTCTCAAGCCCGCCCACTGGGGCTGTATGACTCCAGACAGGACATGTGGCTGAGGGTGGTACAGCAGCTCTACCAGGAGGAACTGAGAGCATGGGGTGCTGGCTCCTGGGAGTGGCAGCACCTTCTTCTTCTTCTTGAGTTGCTGCAGTTCACAGGAATAGAGCCCTGTGGATCAGCAGATACTGATTTCTGTGATTGAATATCTGCATCCAGGAGCTGACAGGATTGCTGGACCCCTAGGAAAGGGGAAGGGAGGGGGGCTGGCTCAGTGTTCCCAGAAGGGATAGAGCCTCAGGTGGAAGAGGCAGGGCTGGGGCAGCCAGCCCTCAGTGCTGCTCAGTGTATGGTGTGCTGAGGCCCCCCTCAGATAGCCCTCTGAGCCTCCCACAGCTCCAGAAGCCATTTAAAGGACCCGGGGCTCTGGCCACCACCGCTGCTGCAGTAGTGATGGTGGGAACCCTGGGCCCTAGGGCAATTGCCTCCTTTGTCCCCCCACCCTCCTCTTGGTGGGCCTTTCTGTATCCATGGATAGACATTTTTATTTGCACAGGGCTCTACTGATGAGATCACACAAAACTTACTTGTGAAAGAAAAGCATACAGAAACTATCACATAATAATGGCTAAAAATGTTCTTGCAGCTGGGAATGGGCTTGAAGGAAACTTGACTGACAGAATTTGCATAGCATTTATGGTTTGCAATGTGTCTGTGTAAACCTTCTCTGGTATTTTAGGATACACACTTCTCTAGGTTGTACTAGCTCTTCCAGAATTAGGAGATCAACTTTAAAAAATTGGCCATATAAAGATGTGACAGGGTGACCCACTTAGCAATGCCTCTTTATGTCTGATCTGGAAATAGTTCTGCCACCTGGTCTGATGCCCCTCCTGCAGTTCCTCAGTCCATCATTCCTCCTTGGCCTCTCATGCACCAGAAGTTGCTGCACTGTTGTCTTCAGAGCTTAGTCTTTCCACTAGGGATGTAATAGAGTAGTCGATTAGTTGATTAACCAATAAGCAACACAGCTCTTACTAAATTTAAACTGCAGAGCCGCAGCGGAGCTAGCTCCCGGACGAGCCAGAAGCTTTAACTTCCCTTATTGACTAATTGTGTATTATATGAAGAGTCCCATATGAAGAGAGGTTAAAACGACTGAGACTTTTCAGTTTAGAAAAGAGGAGACTGAGGGAGGATATGATAGAGGTATATAAAATCATAAGTGGTGTGGAGAGGGTGAATAAAGAAATGTTATTTATTAGTTCCCATAATAGAAGAACTAGAGGACACCAAATAAAGTTAATGGGTAGCAGGCTTAAAACTAATAAAAGAAAGCTCTTCTTCACACAGCATGTAGTCAACCTGTGGAACTCCTTGCCAGAGGAGTCTGTGAAGGCTAGGACTATAACAGAGTTTAAAGACAAGCTAGATAATTTCATGGAGGTTAGGTCCATAAAAGGCTATTAGCCAGGGGATAGAAATGGTGTCCCTGGCCTCTGTTTGTCAGAGGGATGGCAGGAGACAAATCGCTTGATCATTGTCTTTGGTCCACCCTCTCTGGGGCACCTGGTGCTGGCCACTGTCAGCAGACAGGCTACTGGGCTAGATGGACCTTTGGTCTGACCCAGTACGGCCATTCTTATGTAATAAACATTCTATCGACAATTAGTGAATTACCCTTTTAACATCCTTACTGTCCACTAAATCACTTTAAAGTTCTCCCCCATTCCAAGGTGACACAAGCCTTTTGAGGCACAAACTGTCCCAAGCACCCTGTTCCCTGCTACCAGGTCAGTTTTACTCCGCTGGTGGCTGATGGGGGAAACTCGGGCCAACCCTTTATACTAGTTTCCAGTCCAGAGCAGCTCTGGATTTTTACTCTTCCAGTCCTTATTACTCCCTACTTTCTCCTTGCAGCTTTTTACCCTTCCCCCTTGGATCAGGCAGTACAGCTGGAGGTTCCTTCCCAACTTACTCTCTTGATCCTGTCCAGCTCCTCCCTGCAGCTGCACTTCACTTGCAATTAGACTCTAGCACACCTTAGGTTTTCGCCAGGTACAACCTAAGGTTAATGGCCTGATGGAGTAAATTAGGCCATTGTGCAGGGTGGATACTCCATTAGAGAAGGATAATTTGACAAGGTGAAAAATAATCTAAGGACTCATCTGAACATGTTACAGTAACATTAAACTCACTGACAAGATGCTTTAAAAAGAAAGTTAAAAAACAAGACTCAGCCCTGCATACAGAAAAAGCCAATTAAAATACCATTGTATTTCCAAAACACTGGTTGTGAGATGGCTGAGGAAAGGAAAGTGGCTGGTAAAACAGCACACGTAGTTAGGTCATTACCATTAAAGAGAGGTGAGTCACAAAATTAAACACAAAGAGTAAGTACCCCTGGGCTGGTCTATACTGGAAAATTAGAGTCAATTAGAACATGTGGTAACGACAGCAGTGTTAACCACTCTACTGAATATTGTCAAGTTCAGCATTGTTAGCTGGGTCATACAGGGTTAGCTATGGCCAGTCAACTCAGTGTTAAACATGACAGTTCTTGTCTGCGCTGAGTGCCATGTTAACGTTGTTATGTGCTAACATAATGAACTAAGACGCATTTTAACATGAAATTTTCAAGTGTAGACAAGCCCTAAGAAGGTTCCTAGTATTAAGGCTTAAAGAAGACTTAAAACAAACTAGTAATATTTTGGAGGCTCCCAGAAAGTTATTTCTAGGGATAAAGCTCCCCCATTTCCTCAGTTGCTCCCCTTAGTTCCTCTTTCTGCTTCTCTCATCTTTCCTTTTACTTCCTGTTTCCATCATCAGGAATGGATGAAGACAATGGACTTTACCTCACTCCTCTCCCCAAACCACACAATACTTGGCAGGAGGGATACTGGCCTCAAGGCAAGGTGTCTTCCCAAAACTGACTAGCTAACCATATGCTGATATCACCTATCAATGTTGTGCTGACCCAAGTAATTCAGCAAACTCCTTAAGCATGTGCAGAGTCCCATTAAAGTAAATAAGACCATTCACAGGGTTAAGGTTAGGACTGCGAAAGTGTAAGCATGTATACTGGTTTATCAACGAGCATGGACTAACCTATGAGCCTTCTCAGTTACGTGCACCAAAGTTAGCATCTTATCTGGACATGTGAACCAGAGAATAGTAAGAGGTGATGCTCTACAGCTCTCTGATATGAGGATGCTTCTCAAACAGGCTGCCCCACTGAAATGAGACTTAATAGGTCCATGGAGATGATTCTTGTACACATTTTAACAAATCTTTATACAGTTAAAAGCAACTTGGACAGACTATAGGAACACATGGGTTGTCCCTTAATCCTTTCAGCAAATGTCTGATCGCTAACCTCATGTCAGGAAAAGAAACTTCAGTCCCATGTTCATTGTGGTTATCCTGCAAACTGAGATCCATTATACACTGAAGCGATCCCTTTAGTCCTGGATTTCCTGGGCCCCCCAAATTGGCTCTGTGACTGACTCCCCTTTATAAAGATTTACATTTGTGACTTGTGTTGAAGAAAATTCTTCTTGTGTTATTAAGTGGGGAAGGGCAAGACTCAGAAGAAATCACCAAAGGAAACTAACCTCCCTTATCTTCCCAAATTGTGTAGAGTTGTGCAATTATGAATTAGGTTTAGTGTTGGAAGTAAACAGACCATCCATTAGAACTTCATGTGTTCCCCGGGACAGATTAATGGTATGGCCATGGCTGTGACTATACAATTCTATGGGCACACATAAGATGCTATGTAAGTAATAAAAATGATAATAGTTTGAGCCTCTGACATCCCATATTTTCAAAATTTCATACTTATTAATTTTCAAGAACTGAAAGAGTAATGTCAGGTGTGACATATTGTATGTGTAACACCAGCACTTACTATGGAGAATATATGTCTAGCTTAGCCATGATGCACAGAAATGAGCTTTTTACAACCAGATCTACAAAATACTATGAATGTACTGAGTTTCTAACAAAAAACTCCTATATGTAGTGTCTTTTGGAGAGATCTCATTACTTATACATTCTTCTTAAATGGTAGGTGAAAACACAGATATAGGTATATATTAGAAATACTCAGTAACAATGGAAAGAACAGTTGTAAATAAAATATGCAGATACAAAACGTGGACTAGTTCCATCTAACTTTTGGACAACAGAAAGCTTCTCCACCCAAGAAACAAATCAAAACCAAACCAAATCCTATGAACAAATATGTATACAATTACTTTAGTTTTAGCTGACCAAGTTTAAAAAACAAAATAATGATTCATAAGCAGTGAGAAACTGGCATAGCTACATGGTAATGTCCTGGGCTGTATTCCTAGATTGTCCATACAGTGCATCCTCTCCGATAGGTTGCTCAGTGGGATACAGCTGCCAAAGCCAGTAAATGGTTCAATAAAAGATTCAGTAAAGATGAAAAACTAGTGTCCTGAATCTACAAATCCTTAATATCCAGTGCTTCACTCAATACCAATAGTAGCTTAAATGGGATTAGTTAAGATAGGAAGTACTTTTCTGGATAATAAGTGTTTGCAGGATCAGGCCTTAATGTTATAAGTCCTGATCTAAAACCCACTGAAATAAGTTGAACGACTCTCATTAATTTCAATGGTATTTGGATCAGGCCCAAAGCATATATGCAGTTGGAGGTTTGAGTTTTTTTCCTATTGCAATTATTTTTTAATAAAAAAGTAACAGTTATTCAAATTATTTCAAATCTTTATCACAAATTTAGAAAAACTTTCTGTATATTCAGAATACTAAAAACGTGCAAAGTGCAAAGCCCAAGAAATGAGTATACTTGCATATTTCAGGTAATTCTTTTGCAAATAAAATATAGTTCATCTTACACTCAAGCATCAGTTTCTACTAACGTTGCCCACTCGTCCATTTCTGCTTGTCTTTTATGGACTTTGATAAAAGGAAACGTCTCTGCCACTTCAACTGATTCCAAAAATCTAAATGGCCATCCCTTTCCTTGGTGAAAAGCAATAACTTATATCTGTTTTCCAAATAAATTTTTGGACTCAGGCAACATCTTTCCATTTTTTTAGTAAAACAGATGTTAAAGGATGTGTTTAGAGTTCTGGGACATTAATTCACCAGATACTCTGGCAGTTTCTGGAACCAAATTATGAAATGACAGTGAACCACATATAATCAAAACAGTATATACCACAGAAAAAAGCTGAGTCTTGCGATTCTACTAGCAGAAATCACTGGATTACAGTTCTCCAAACCAGTCAGCTGTTACAATTCACTCAACCATTTAAACAAACAAAATAGAAATTCAGTTGCCTTTGGAACACCTGCACTCTTGGTGACTGCACCAAGATGTATTTTCTGTCTCACCCATTTCAGAAATCAGTCTTTGTTTTCCCTCACTGCACAGAAGTGTACTTAAAAAATGAAAAAAAAAAACCACCTTCACAAAACTATCAGGCCTTCTTTAAACATCCTAAGAAAGCAAGTATGGGCATAATATTTTTAACTTGTAGTAAACCTTTACCATCATCCATGGTCAGTCTGAGAAATGCTTCACTCACAACCCATGTTCTGTCCCCCCGCTCCATGACACCAGAATAAGAAACCCTTCACTGTAGATTGTGTATATTTTTATAAAACAAACAAACTCATTTTTCTTGAGTGTTTGATAGTTGTCATAAAAAGTTTGAAGAGTCCAACTCAGTCTGATAGATAGTACTATCTTGGTTTTAAAATATAATTTTTGGCAGGAAGAATAGGCAGAGGTGCATGTGCCTGCTTGTGTGTCAATATGGCAGTAATTCTCCTTCTCCCCATGACCTTAGATATTCAGTAAAACAGTTCAATTGAAATTTTGTCCTCTTTTCTCATTTGTTTCTAATTGACTTTTCTCAGTACATTTCCCCTGTCCTCCTGCCTCAAGCTGTTTTATGTCTGAATCTTCTCTCTCTATGGCCA